CCCAGTTCTTATTTGTAGTAAGAAAGTAAATATACCTCGGAAAATTGAACAGATTAATACTCGAACTATGTTAAGTAAGCCTACCAATCATTTTATCTTGATAACATCTCCACTTAGATATATGCTTGATATAACCATACAGGACCAAAATTTTCTTAACTAAACTATTATTAAAAATAGTTTTACATCAGTTAATTACAGATAATATATAATAAGTAATATAAGCTAGTTATAGCAATAATTTTTTTTTGTTATGTTGACAAATAAATTTAGTAGTACATTGCACAACCAAATTTTGGTTGGACAAACAAAAATTTTTTCCGTACAGTTAGTAGTTGAAAAATGGTTTTTTTAAAACTTCTCTGAAAAAAAGATCTCGTGGGTCTAATAAGGTGTTTTATTGCTGCACCGTACTCATGATATGTATAACCTTTATAGTTGTTTTCAAGTAATCGATTATGAGGATAAAAGAATAAATTTGTCAAAAGAGTTTTTTTCGTTTGCATAATGTGACTGAACGTCTCATAAAATTTGGATATTTACAGACAGTATTCTGATAAAACATTTTACTAGCACTAGATCGTGAAGACATTTAATAGAATCCGAGAAATCCATGTATAAGTGATTATTTTTTACCTCGACCCCTAGTGCAACGTACTGATGTGATTTATATACATACTTTCTCTAATGCACCAAAGTCCATACACCTTCTCCTCAGCCCTTTTTTCCATAATCGAAATAATCGCACCCACGGCATCCACCCTCGCAATTATCACCGCCATTAGAGTCTAATACACGGCCCAGCAGATCACCATGTATCCAACCTGGAAAGATCGGCTCGACCAGCGATCCCAAGCCGAGATCGCAGCAGCAGTAGGTAGTAGCATGGTTCAAAGGCGCGAGCAAAAAGACAAGTGTGCGGATGCAGGTAGAGCCAGGCGTGGATCGCGATGTGCAGAGCTGGGCCCGCGAGGCGAATCGTATATTATAATACAGGCGGTTGTGCGGGGGTATGGCTCGGGCGGACTTTTCGGCAGGCTATAATCAATTCTGATTGCAGGCCGCCGAGAGTGGAGTGGGCACCGATAGGTATACGGAACGAAAAGAGGCATGAGCGGGGCATCCAGCCTGCCGTTTTTCGTTTGTGTGAGTGCGTACGCGCAGAGGAAGTAGGAAGAGCTGGAGGAGTTCTGGCTGGGCTTTGTAGATACATGGGGTAAGATTGCGGTCGCGGGGAATGGTGTTTTTTTTTCTCTTCTTGAGGGGGATAATATGATTGAATGGTAATTATGCTTGGTCGCAGGATGGTGAGATTGCGGTGCTTGGTACCGGGGTATAAGTATATGTACCATGTGTGGTGGATAATGACTGGAATTCGTTCATTTTGAACTCATTTGTCTAATGGGACTGGGTACGGTTTGTGCATTGGAAACTTATTTTTGTGCAGTACAGACAATACAGAGAATTCGTCGTAATGAAATTTCCTCTGTGATTAGAACAAAGATTTAGAGTATGCATAGAAATGAGGATTAAAAAAATGATTTTTCGAGAAAAAAAATTAACTTTCTGAAAATTGTCAGATGTAATTACCAGAAATTTGCAGTAAATCTAACACCTCATATTAATTTTATTTTTTAAATATTTAATTTCATTAGGTAATCAAATTATTACGTAATAAGAGATTATTTTTAAATTAAGAAAAAAAGATATAGTTTTTCATTACTACAAAATTAAGACAAAACCAATTGAAATGATTTCAAATAAAAAGGAAAGCTTTTTTATGCTAACTTACATGCAACTATTTGGAAAATTGAATTAAGCAACATTTCTATTTTATAATTACACTAATACACAGGTACACACAGATATTTTACAAAAATGTTATTTTTATTATTCTTAAAATACTGATCACCCCACATACCAAGTTACTTATTTCTCTTAAAAAAGAGTGCTCCTGAGTTCGCTCATTATGGATTCAGTTTAAAAATGGACAGCTTTGCATAGCAGCCTGAAGCTTGTCCACAGCGGAGCATCAGAGTCCTGCAGGCCGAATCCAATGGAAAGCTATATCTTGTCTGCTTTGCAGTATCGTCCATCAGACATCGACGGCAAGCGTAGCTAATGCCCACGACTTGTCACGGTCGCAGGCGAGACGCTGCTCACGTCACAAAAACATACACTTCAGCGTTATTTATCGCTCGCTCGTCTGCTGTACTTTTTTGTATGTTTAATTTCTTGTACTTTTTTATTGGATGGTCATACATGCGTATTTTTTGTTTTAATAGTAAAAAGCCAGTATGAAGAGCTACATTGTTAGTGAATAATGTACATAATTATATTTCTAATATAAACAATTAAATTTTTAACTGATAAAACTTAAATTGTACAAATAATTTTGTACTTATGATAAACCAATTGTCAGACACTTTAACGTGAAATTGCGAAGAAAAATAGATACATCTATTAGCTGAAATTTTACATATCGACAATTGACTGCACATATGTGTGTTATAGAAGCAAGTTGTAGATCTTAGCGAGACATAATTAGCTTGTGGCGTATACGATTATCTTTCAAAAACTAACTGATGAATACGAATATTTTAAGTAAGTGTACCTCTTATATTTTATAGATTGTACTCTAAGATTTGATATGGATTGTTTACGATGCAAACGATTCTGGAGAACAGCCACACAACCGTTTTTGGCTCAGTAAAGAGGATAAAATTATCAATTTACGATAAAGTAGCCTAAAAATGTCGTAAATCTTAAGACCATAAAATTTTATGTTTTAAACCTTGTCTTTTACAATGTCACGAAATCATTACAAGCTACAAAAATCATTTGGAACTTAGACGGAAACATTACATTGATTATACATTTTTTTTATTATAAATACTCTAGGAAAACAATCAAACACAAAACTTGTAGTTTTTAACTATTGACTTGGTTTAATCTTTTATCCATATATTTATCCACTAGTTTCTAATCATTTTTTAATTGAATATACAAGTTACATTATCTTTTTCCTCGTAATGTAGACGATCATCTAAAGATTTTTTAAAATAAGGAATCAGCTTCGAAATTTCAAACTCATAGTTCGGTTTGTCAAACTTATTATTGAAAAATGGTGCATAATTATCAGAGATTTTCATGTTTTTTGGAAATCAACTTACATCTTATTTTTGAAGACTTATTGTGTACTTGATACAATAAATTAAAAACTACTTGACTGAATAACTATTTAGTACCATAATTAAAAGTTACAAATAATAAGAATGAATCCAAGTATATTAATTTTAAAATTAACCATCTGCTTATAAAATAATCGATTTTATTTCTTAACTCATAAATAGAAAAATAACAAAGAAAAAAGTAAATGCTGTTTATATCAATAAACTATTTTCTCTAAAATTTACCATCTCATTCGGTCTTGGCTATATCGACCATGAATGAATACACATAAACATTTAAATTACGAAATGCAAAATCACTCACCAACGCACAAGGGCTCCTTTGAATTAATGAAATTTGCAATTATCATGAGAGTCGACATTCCTTAGGAGCCACTCCCTGCAATTGCCGAAAACAAACCCACAGGTACCAAACCCTCTTTCCCCATCCTTCTCGACTCGTCCGTCCGAAATCTCGCGGGCGTAATTATCGTTCATAAAGATTCAATTCGAGGCCGAAATTCAGCGGTAATACCTCTCATCAGCCGAGAAAATAATAATATGTACCTCTCGGTGCATGCAAACGAGGGACTCCACGTGCCCTCACGCGTACAGCATTGTGGGCTCGAATTCTCAAAGACACGGTCTCTCGCATATTTCTTTGCTATCTTCATCACGTTCGTGATGTTTATTAGTGAATCGTGCAACATTTATTACTGCAGTGTCTCGAGGTGCTTTGCACATTTGGTCTCTGAATGCCAACAGATTTTAGGTCAGTGGTGAAACAAAGACAGACTATATACCTTCTAGAACTGCGCTGATCTACAAAGTTATTGCATTATATGGTATGTATGAAAAATTGGAAATTTTCACTTGCAGTAGTATATACAATTATTTTTTAAGTTCAAATGATGTCTTGCTCGTTCATGAATTTTGATGAAAGATATTACTTTGCAAACTTGTATCGTTTATCACTAACTTCTAAAAATTGTCTATTTGTGTCGATTTTATTAAATTAACGTTATAGTATCATTTAACTATCAAGTTTATCTGGATTAAGAACTTATATTTTCTTTGACAAAATGATTTTATCGATAGTATAGCTTTAAATGGAATGTAGAAACTATAAGAGCGATATATTTTTATAATTATTTTAAAGATTGATTTTCAATTAAAAATTTCAACACACATACGATTAATTTATTATACACTTTATTAGAAGGCTAAATGGAATCACCGTGTTTGCTTGTTAACGTATGGAGATGTAAAAAATACTATGGTTGCTGTGGTATTATTACATTATACTTATTTATCAAAAAATATCAACAAATGATTAAACAGCATAATTTGATTATTAGATGCAAAATCGAAAGCATCTACAAATGGTCATTTTGACGTGTAAGTATCGAGGTAAGTATACTTAAACTCTGCTTTAAATTAAAAATAAATTTTTAATTAGTTTCAGTATTAAGTATTGTTGACTCGATATCATAAACATTATTGGAGGAAAAAGAAATATAATTAAATGACTATGATTGTTACCTGACTTTTTTTCATCATCAGTATTGTCTATTGGAAAGTTACAAACACATGTACGAAAAGCATAAGAAAGTCAGCTGAATTGCCAGTGTAGGCTTAATTGTTTTCTAATCTAAATAGTAAAAGCCCCACCAAGAGCTCATAATCGTGTTATAGGTTTCAACGCTGATAATAATGTGAGTGTGAGTTTCCTCATGTTGAGAAATCGTCAGAAATGTACCATGTTAGTGTTGAGCTTCAAAGCAATAAGCACGTCGATGCTTGAACGACGACGAAAAAGGTAGCACAGCAATGAATCTAACAGTAGGATTGAAATATTGCATAGTGATATTGGGCTGCTTCTTCGTACTCTACTTTGTGCTTAGCCAATACAAATCACCATTAAAGTCTTTGAACATCACACCTGACCTGCAGGTCACGATAGAGGACCTATACAGGAACATACAGCAGCTTACGTATCGAGTGGATTATCTCATCAATGTTAATCACCAACTGCTCGAAGCCCGTATTTCTTCCAACGACTCTAACCACGATGTGAGTAACATCAGGCTGCCCACGGCATACAGTCTTCTTTCTCATTTGCTTGGAGATAGAAATTCTCTGCAACCAAACCTCATATACAGTAGCGGCAGGTCGGGTACAAGCATGGTGCTTGGGATACCTCACGTCAGACGGGACAAGGAGAATTACTTGATTCCTACTCTCAAAAATTTAACGGGTAACATGAATTCTACTGAAATGGCAGACACGCTTATAATAGTTTTTATAGCTGAGGTGAGTTCTTACATTACTCTCATGTTTTATTTCATTTTTAAAATAATTTTTTTCTTTCATAAATGATATTAATATCTTAATTTTACCAATTTTCTTACATGGATTATCTACAAAAATATACAAAAAGTATAGATAAATAGTTAATATTCCTTTTATTTCAGTTTCTTTTTTTTCCGTTATTACTGTAATTCATTGCATATGACTTATAAGTGTTTCATAAAACTTTGATTTTTTTTAGACTGACAAGAAATATGTCAAACGAGTAGCAAAGGAAATAGAACTACAGTAAGTAATTATTAGTATGTTTGCCTTAAATTGTCAGTATAACAAATAGTTTATGATTAATGTTAACGCTTTTATTAACTGTTGGTAAGTAATTTTATCTGTGACGAATCTATAATACCTTAAAATAGTGATCGTATGAATATAAAAAAAAACTAGTGATTTTAGGAGTTTTACAATTATGGTTTAAAAACGATTAAATTAGTGTGTTAATTAAAAAACAAGAAATGGTTTATTGCTTGAATGTAGATTGTAGTTAGTTAAAAAATTACTGAAATTGTTTGCTATTGAAAAATTCAGTCGTGTGAGTCTACAACAAGTACGGCTTATGACTGAATGCTTTTGAGTTTCAGTGAGTGTATCTGTAAATAAAGCAAGAATAACTTCCCAACTTTAAATGTTTCGTACTTTTTTCAGTTATGACTTTTTACTTGTAATAATTAATTGTTGTATTATGTTATACCGTTTATTCGTCTCAAGTCATGAATATTTCAAACGTATTAATGTAAACAGTTTTTCTTTAAGTATATATTTGTTGGGAAGAATTTCCCTGAAATACTGAAAATTAAACCACACTTAAATTTGGTTTAATTTTTTTCTCTTTATGTAAAGATAATAATAAGTACCTACATCTCAAGAGACAGATTTCTGATGTACTCTGTATAAAAGCTCTACAAAAACAAATATAAATTTCAACTTATTATCTACAATGAACATGAATCATACGATTTTGTCGTACAGGTTTCCGGTCGAGTTAAAATCAGGACTTTTGGAAGTGATTTCACCTAATCCATCGTATTATCCAGATATTTCGAAAGTACGCGATACATTAGGAGATTCACATAATCGGGTGATGTGGAGATCAAAGCAAAACTTGGATTTTGCATTCCTAATGTCGTATGCTCAGGCAAAAGGAAGATTTTATTTGCAATTGGAGGATGACATAGTATCTAAAAAAAATTATATCGGGACAATGAAATCCTTCGCTTTACAAAAAACCAATATGAAGCAGGATTGGTATATTCTTGATTTTTGCGAGCTAGGTTTCATAGGTAGGATACAAATTCAATCGCAATTAGTATCGTCTCAGCTTCAAAATAATTTCATAATTAAATAAATCTGCAGGAAAGTTATTCAAAACCTCTGACTTACCGTGGTTGGTTCAATTTTTTACAATATTTTACAATGACCAGCCTGTTGATTGGCTGATAAGTTACTTTTTAACCGTAAAAGTTTGTTCCTTCGACATGGATGGGGTGAGTAAGAACTTGCACTATAATCATTTAACTTGTTTCAGTCACTTGTATTCACAAATGTTAATGTCTTTAGAAAAAGTGTCAAGAAGCCAAGGAAAAAGTATGGCTCAGCTACAGCTCATCCCTGTTTCAACACGTTGGACTTCATTCCTCGTTATCAGGAAAACTACAGAAATTAAAGGTAAATTAACTTTTTGCCATAATACGTGAAAGACAATAATCTTGCATTTCATTACAATTGCAGGCTAAAAAGTTTCTCTGAACCTGGCTCAATCATAGTCACTCATGGGCTGGAGCTCGGATGTTAGACAAAGGACCAATGTGAATTACAGGTAAAATTCACGAGTATCAACATCTCAACTCAACATTTCAACTCATTATCCAGGCCATTCGTAAGCTGCTCATGCAAACAGAGTGTCGGCTCTGCATCGCAGTGGCTTGTGACTTCGTTTTATAAATACATTGCACGCGCGCGCGCAAACACGTGTGTGTGTGTGCGATCAAACGCGACTCCGCAACTCATATTAGTTGAAGGAGGAAGATCGGAGAAAAGGAAGCCATGCCGGCACGTCAGAGGGATTGGAGCCGAAAGAGAAGACGGGGAGACGAGCGACGGTACTGCACGCGCTCGGATAATTGATAGCGGGATGCTAATAACCCGCACGAGCTAGGAATGATAATGCGCTCCTCTCTGCTCCTTTTTTCTATGCCTCCTCTCTTTTTCCCGCGCATTTTCTGAGCCCAGGGTGGCTGACACTTGTCAGCTGACGCGTGTGCAAGCCAAGCTCCTCGCTGGACCTCTGCGACAGTTTGGGACGTATTCTGTATTCCGTCTGCGAACGCATTGGTCCTGACTTGGTAGTATATGAGCTCGGAGAATCACGTACCTTTTGCAATTTGTTACACTCAATTGGTTGTGTATTTAGTATCGAACGAAATGTTGAGTGAACGAAGATATCGAGATTTCGAGCGTGATTGCTATATTTGTAGAATCTTTTGTTGATTACTGTTACGTGTGTTTAAGTGAGATTTAAGTGTTTGAGCAACAACAAAAAATCGTATGAGATGTAAGGATAGTTAAAGGAAGAGATTTTTTATTTTGAGGACTCGAACGACTACGTGTTCATATACTTTTTTAATCACGGTTTATTTGTTTATTTGGCAAATTCGTAAAGTATGATACAAAGAAATAGCAAGTGATAAAAATATTTGTGAAGTCAAGCCGATGTCAAGAGTACATTAAATGTATTTTGAAAAATCTAAAATTTTTTAAGTATTATCAGTTATTACTTGAAATTTATAAACTTTTTCTAAAAAATACAAGAAGTAAAAAATAATTGTTTACTATTAATTATTTGAGTAAGTGAGATGTCCCAAGACAAGGCACCGTCAAAAAAAAACTTCTCCTGCAACTAAAATTTTCGAGTTCCAATCACTAACAGTTCTGGATTAATTTTATAGGATTTTGTGGTAGCTACTGCTAGGAATAATTAAAAAACGAGATTACGAGTGCTATTCACCTAATTTTTCGTTTGTTACTAAAGTCCATTTTTTAAATCTTTTTTTTTTTTTTTTTTTTTTCAAGTTATAAAGGTAAAATGGTACCCCTCAAGTTACAACTGGGTAAATATTGGGCAGCGGCCGAAAATAAAGAGTTAAAGTCTAAACTCGTTTAACAGTACGATCTTATACGTCTTGTAGTAAAGAAAAGAATTCATATATTCTCAATAATCTACTATGATGCATATATTTAATACCACACATCAACAGCTTACATCCATCTACGAGATTAAATAAAAATTGAATTTAAAGGAAGAAAAAAACATTCAGCTCATATCTTGCAAACAACATCCACTTGATGACTGTCAGATGCAACCATCACAACCACCTACAAATCCAAGAGGATACTATGTGTGTGTTTTCAATTCGCACTAATTAAATGATTATCAACATCCTTTTGTATTCACAATAATGACACTTACGTTGTACAAGGTCTTAGGCCCTAAAATATTAAATATGACTAATATTCACAAGTATCCTAATACCAACTCATTCACCGAAAAAAACATGCATTTCTTAAGATAAGTATTTGATTGTCAGATATCCATTGGTAAAATAAGATCCAACCCTAGATACCGATTCCAACTGTTTGAGTGTATTTCCCACAATAATTAAATTTAAAACTACTCCAAACAAGTGTTTATCATAAAATTTGTCCATCCAAGTTGACAACAGTCGAAAGTAAATGTAGCAACAGTGAAATCAAGAAGAAAGAAGAAAAGAAAGAAAGAAAGGAGTAGAAGAGAGAGGGAGAGAGAGCCGCAAACAACCGGACGAGGCAAAGTGTGCGCTTCGCCGTGGTCGGAGTAACTGCTGCCGTTGACTAAAAATAGAGCGACAAGTACGATTTACTCAATGAACTGTCATGCTAATATTCGAGACGTTCTATTAGAATAATCAGACGATGTGTTGGTTCGTGTGGTGAACCGACGATCTTTCGAGGTGATCAACACATTACATTGGTCGCATGTCCGCTTTAAAACTTATTAGGCTGATAATATGGATTGCAAGTGAGTGATGGTAATTAAGAGGGCTGATGCTGGTTGACTTTAATAAATTATAGTTACTGAACCTGACTATGTCTTTAGGCGGTGTGAAATGGTTGACGCCATTATTTTATGGCACGATCGGTAATATTTGTTAGCAAGAGATAAGGCTATGAAAACGTAAATCAATAACAGCAGGGATACAAGAAGTGGTGAGATAATATTTTAGAATTATTTTTACGTAATATTTGGACTTGAAATTTTACATGGATATTCTTGAGCGATGATAAAAAAGTACTGAGCAATATATTTTTGGGTTTTTAAATATTAGTTACAGAGTGATATTTATTGAGAATATAATGTGATGTACAGTTCCAGTTCATAATTTTTTCTCAATTAATAGAGATACTCAAGAAAATTAAACGAAAATTGACAAAATCGATAAAGCTTGACAACTATATGTCATAATTTTTTAGTCATAATTCATCTATAATTATGTTAGTACTATCGAGATAAAAATAAAGTTTACAGCCTTGTTGTCCCTACGTAATAAATTACCAGATACTGGAGCAACTTTGAGTAGTTAATAGTTTTTTTTTTGTTAAAATTAAGTATATAGCTGTTTTAACAACTTTTCAAAATTTGATAAGTTATGGACTTTATAATATAGGGTACTCATCTTTCTGCATATTTGTTACGTCACTTTATTTCTGTTTTAATTTAATATTTTTAAATAAAAGTTATTTAAACTTTAAACTGGATGAAGAATTTCGTCATATTTTCTAGATTTATCACAGAACGAGGTAGATCAACTATAAATAGTATGCATTCCATTATTTGCCGATATGCACTTGGACAAAGTAAAATTTTTTCGATCCATCTATTCTTATTTAGCACAATTATGCTAAGCAAGGTAAAATATTCAAAAGTTACATCCTGATTAAGTTAGATAAAAGATCGACCCCTACTTATTGTGATGCCTATGGACAAGTGATGTTAACGAATTGCAAAAGACTTCAAGCTTTTTTTCAACACTAAGTTTTTATTTTTACTTCTTATCTCATAACTTTTCATATGGGCTGCTTTTCAAGTTACCATGACTCACTTTTTATTGACTCGACAACATCATTTTGTAAACAATTATAATTCTTAACATCACCTAATTATCTTTCACTGAATAGACGAAATAGATTTTCAAGAGTAGGTATTTTGTATGGATTATTTATCAGTATATAAAATGATAACAGGAAAACACTATGTCAAAGCTACATGATAATACTAATATTGCAAGGTCTACCAAAAAGAAATATCAAATTGCTATCCTTTTGTTTTCAAAAAATGAATCATACCATTAAAAATACGTTTTTCACGATTTTAGTGTCGATGTAGAATAATTAAAAATCAATGCTCGCCTAAAGCGTTAATTTCATAGTTGGTTCAATGACTAAATCACAACGCAACAAACGATGTAATTCATTTCCTCCTTCTTAATTATGGACAAGGAGAAAACACACACACACACGAACAAATGCAAAATAAGACGAAGAGCGCACCTGTAGTAGGGAAAGGCTTGCGTCACGTGTAGATCCATTGGCATGGTGGGGTGGCCGGGGGCAGCCGAATGATGCGCCGGCGTCGGCCCGTAATCGGCACCAGGGGGTGGCTGCATCATACCCGCTGCGGCAGCTGCGGCGTGATGACCGGCAAGCACGGCACCCCAGTAGGCACCAGCTGACCCGGTGCCGGTCATCGCTGCAGCAGCCACCGTCGTTGCCCCCGAATGATGCGAGTAATGATGATGGTGGTGGTGGTGTGGGTGGTGGTGGTGATGATCGAGCTCGAGGTTGAGAGATCGGCTACCCACAGCTGTAATTCCTGCTGGGTTGTTGCTAATCCCGCCACTGGTACCACCTACCACTCCAGATCCACTGCTTCTAGCACCGACGCCACCATCCGCACCCCGATGCATCAGCCAGCCCTCCACCACGGATGGGGTTGACTGCCACCCGGAAATATCGGTCGATCAACTCGTTTTTCGAGAGAGATCGGTTCAACTGGTTTACTACTCAGTGTAAGGCACTATTTGAAAATGCTTACCCTTGAGCACACACTTTTCAACTATTTTTCCCTTCTCATATACACTTCCACGCCACGCTCCGAATCGGCAACGTCACTCTTTAAACCCCAACGTACGGCACTCCGCTTCGATACCGATCGAACTCTCGCGTGGATAGATAAACATCAACATTGCTCTTTTTTCATCACAAACGCAGTATCGACGAGTACCACTTTACTTGACACCGAAAAACCACACAATCTCAACCGGGGGACATACCGATCTTTACCGATCGCACTGGACACTGATCCGAACTTTGCGCGCACGCGTCGCCTCGCGAATCCACGCTCGCTCTGTCAGACAGCAGCATCGCCACAGCTGGCTACTGCGTCAGATAACTAAGAGCGGGGGAGCCTGCAACGAGAGGAAAGAGAGAGAGAGCAGCGCGGCCTTTGGCTCGGCCATGAATGATGCCGGTACGGCCGCGTGAGTGCGGTGGCGACGCTGCAGGGGACGAGTTGCTCGCGGGGGCGGAGCCTCTGATCCGCACTTTGGCGTCGTACCTACCTGTACGCGCTTCGCACGCTCTCGGGAGGGAAGAAAGAGAGATGGAGAAAGAGGATTGAGACGACCACGTGATGCAGGGCGCGCGCGCGTATT